TAGGTGATTAATGTGATGGTGGATCGTCGAGTATTCTAGATTTTAGGCACTAATGATGATCCTCTATCAAATTTATAATACTTAAAAATATAAATAAAAAAATAAAAAAGGTAAAAATAAAAAAGGAGTTTTTGGTTAATTTAATGTGTCATATTTAATTGGGACGTTCGTTATTCTTGACGTCGACAAAAATACATCACCTTTAGTAATTAGGTCGTTCTTCGATATATTGATTATGTCAAGACTTTAACTCGGATTCGATGTTAAATTGATGCGACTCATGATATCTAGAACCGATGATAATTCAATATGATATCACAATAAAAAAATAAAAAAAATAATTTGACTTAGGCAATATACGGACTTAGAAATAAACTTAAAAATAATTTTGCAAAAATAGATTTGTGGGATATATATTTTAGGATTAAACCGGACAAGATACTTTTTTTTCAAAAATTATGCTTTTGGATGATTGATATCTTCTTAAAAACATAATTAACTCTTTACCCGTAATTTATAAATTTTATTTTTTTTCTAGGTTTTATAGTTCATTTAATACTATGTGGTAACTTTAAGACCTTGATTAACTCATGTCCTCAAAATAAACACTATATCTAAAAGGTACAAGTTAAATTCACCAATCAAATTGTTATTTCTATCAATTTTTTTTTTAATAAAATTATCTATACACTCTCCATCGATATGTGTTATATAATAGTTATCGGTAATTTATGAAAATAGTATTGGTAATTGTATAAAAAAAATAATAAAAATAACAATTTGATTGATAAATTTAACAATAATTTATAAAAAATAATAAATAAATCTTAAAAGTACATTAAGTGTCGGGTAAGAATAACATGTGCCCATAATTTAAAATGTTTATTTTAGTCGTAAACAATTCCCCCAATGTTGTTTAAGTATTTTAGAATATGTCACGAGAAAATAAAGGAACGTTAACAATTTTACCTAAAAATAAGCAAAAATTTCAAATTGAGCACCGCATGAATGATTATTTGTCCTGGATTGTAGCACCTTCGCATTTATTTGATTTAAAAGAGGTAAGAGAAACAGTTATGCAAACCGTTTGAATTCAACTTCTTCTTCTTTGCAGCAAATGAGAATCCTTATTTGAAACCTCGGAATTTCGATTCCTTTAGTTTTTCTTTTCCAAACTCAACTTCGCAATGGTATCATCATTTGTCCCACAAGGAAACTTGAAGCAACAATTGGAAACCATCATTAAACTCGAGCCTAGTGCTTGCTTTGACATCCCATCCGATCGATATTTCGGAAGGAATAGTCCTTGGTCCCCACCACGTAACTTGTAAACTATTCTTCCCTTTTTCCAAAGACAACAATCTTCTAATTACAGATGGTGGTTTTTGGGTATAAGCCCCTATGGAGACAAAGTCAACACCACTACAGAAGTCAATGAATCCAGATACAGCCACCACTTGGTGGTGAATCAAGAGTTTGAGGCTTTCAGGAAAGCCAAACAAAAATAGACTGATGAGATTGACGAGCGAGAACACGTAGCATTCTTGAGCCTATGGATATGCAGATATTTGGTTTGTCCATGATCATGCAAAATGGGCAAGAATTTCACAAAGCTGGTAGTGCTCCTTGCCCATATAACTCGTGTAGCAACGAGACCGTTAATTCCTTTGTTCAAGATCTTACAAAAGTCTTGGCGAAGCTTAATTGAAGAATGACCACGACAATTTAAAGGTCAATGGAACTATTGGTGGATGTTACAACTCTGCTAGTTGCTTAGTTCTCCAAGCTCAGCAAATGGAAGGCTTTGATGGTTGGTAACAAAGAGCCACAAAATACCTATTTCAAGTTACTTGTGAGGGAAAAAATCGTTCAATGAGTATGCTTATATCTTGTTCAATTTCGAGAAAATTGAGCCAAAATTATTCTGTCCATTCAGGCCTGTTCGTTACGAACCACAGTGGCCCATCAAGAAGTTTGCTACTCTCATTGAGAATCCTTCCTTGATGGATGACCTTGAGATCTAAAGAACGATTTAAAAAGCATGCTGATGATAAGTGAATTTCACTTCTCGTGTGTGATTAGCCTTGTAGCTGGGAACAACCAATGTTCAATTAATGGTTATAATCCATAATTTGTCTCCAGATAGTTGGAAATATGTCAGGCAGACCCTTTTCCCCTCACGTTATACCCATATAGATCACTTCTACGACCCTCATCTGCAGTGCATGAAGTGATTGAGCTTAAAAATATGTTGATGGAGAGATGTATGTCTAGGGATTTTGACTTTACATTTGATAGTTAAGACAGTCAGAAGCTTCCCTGAATACTATCCCCAGAGGCTCTAGGATATCTTCCCATTTCCTCCAGAGGAAATGTTGGCTGCTTGGAAGAAAACTGATATAGAAATAGGTATGTTTGTCAACAACCTTTCAGTTCATGCTTTATTCATTATCAACTCTGAACTTAGTAGTCCCTTTTATAGTCCATAACTCTTCTAAAGTCTTCAAAGGGGGAAAAGAGAAAAGAATCAGTCGTGATAATCGAGCCAGTGAGTATTATTCCCAAACTTTTTAAGGAATTATGAACTTGGAGTATTCTCATTGTTATTTATGTTTCACATGTTCTTGAAGAACCAAGTTGTACTAGGTCTGATGTCATAGCACCAATTCAAACAAAAAAGCAGGTAGCTTCCAATCTGGGATAATCATGTGGTGGCACCAACGTAATAAATATGAATTTAATGACGAGTATTTACGAAACAAGTTCTCTTTTATTATTTGAAAGATCATTTGATGGCTAAATTAGCTTACGAATAAACATACTTAGTTTGAGTAGATTGTAAAGAGAATAACAAAAGACGAAATCCGTAATCTTGGGCTTCTTAGTCTAATAGAAGAAGGTGTGATCAATTTGCATGGAAAGGGGGTGGAACAATCTTTTTCCCCTGCTCTCAATAGTCCCTCACATCTACTTGAGGGTTTGGAATCTTCTTAGGTGATAGTCATTATCCGACAGTATGCGTAGAGTCATAGTTGGTTATGATGTAACAAAAATGATCTAAAAAGCCACACTTTCATTAAATGAATGTCATATTTGTCGACCAAATTGATATAAAGACATTTTCTTTACTCGGATCACTCGTCTCTGTTAATTTCATAAGTCTTGCCCAACCATGATGGCTGTTTGCGATCGGTCGAGATCATTCTAAGCATGACAACACATGTCATAATTACAATCATATAGGTATATCACAACCATCCATCCATTTCTTAACACCCTTAACCTCCCATATTTTATGACTAAGATATTAAAATCTTTTCAAACCCATATATAGTTTTTGTTTTCGATGTTGGAAAATTTAAGTAAAATTCTGATTTTTGAGTCATGTGGCAAGAGACTTTGAATTTGAGATAAACTGTGGTAATTTCTTTATGATCAATACAAATGATCATGAAAAATTGATGTTTGATAGATTAAGACATGCAAAACATCCAGTGGCATGAAAATCAAATGTTCTATGCTCAACCCTCCTTCCGAAAACCGAGAGAACTTCCTAGCTTTTTTTCCTCTGAATTTGGGAGAGTAAGAGGAGTCTTCCACTTCTTTACCTTAGCAGTTTACTAGAGCCATTGCTACTACCCTTGTACCTACCCACTTTTCAAGAATGTCAAGTGGGAAAGCATAGCCATTTCTTGAAACAAAAGCGAATGCCAAATCTTATGACTAGGGAAGGAACCTTCCACAGAAGTAAAGATCCTTACATAAAAGGCAAAAAGGGAGAGAATCGCTTGCCTTCCCTCCCTCTTCCCTATCAATTCGACAAAGAATCACCTCTTACGTACTACATTAACTTCCTTCATCAATCGTGTCTTTTTATTGCCTTCTTTCATTGCAAATTATGCAGCAAACTGCTCATCAAAGATGGAAAACTCAAACCGGCAAGACCTCACCGAAGACTCTGAACTTAGCGATGAATGCTACTATCTGAAAGATGATGAACCTGATGAATCTCGCTACCTACATCTAATCAATGCAGTCCTCAGTGGCACTGCTAGGCTCAACATTCTCTTGCCCACTGCTACAATCCTTGCCTTCACCATTTTCGCGCCTCTTCTAACCAACGATGGCATGTGCACTACCTTGAATCGATGGCTGATGGGTGTCTTATGGGCCATCTTGGCTACCTCCTGTGTCTTTTTCACGTTCACTGATAGCTTTCGTACATCAACTGGTAGGCTGTACTATGGATTGGCAACATTCAGAGGGATATGGACCTTCAACGGAGGCAGGAAGAAACCAAATGTGCCATCGGATTATAGGCTGAGGTTGTCTGATCTCTTTCATGCATCACTTTCTTTGACTGCATTTCTTGCTTTTGCTGGGTCACATAGGGATATTGTTGGGTGTTACTATCCAGCAATGCCTAGGAAAGTGATCAATACGGTTCCTCTTGTAATTGGTTTTGTGATTAGTGTTTTGTTTGTGTTGTTTCCCACCAAGAGAAGAGGAATAGGGTACCCTTTCTTGCTGCAAAGGGAAGCATTCTATTCTAGATGCTAGACATTCTCCATTCTTTTCGCAAAACTGGATTGGAAAGTATTTTATGTCAACAAAAAACAAGTCTGTTCTAGAAGATCATGTATCGAAGCTGATTTATGATTCCATGCCCCACCCACACTGAGTTCAAATTTTAGAAGAGATTCTCAAATTCAATTGCAATATCCATGGCCACTGAGAGCAAATACTGGAATTCACTTGTAATGGTTCCAACACTTTTAACTGTAAAGGTCAACCAGAATAAGAAAAATTAAACAATATGGCAAATTTCTATTGAGTGCACTATTAATAACTCTTTTAGCATTCCTGAAATTTACAAGCACGAAACCAGGAGGAAAGAAACGGGAACTTTTTCTTAAATATGAAATTAAAAGCCTTTGTAAATTGTAATGCACCTTTGTAAAACGCTTAAAAAAAAGGACCAAAATTAACCTATATTTGGTTCAGGTACAATGGCAGCGCAAAGGAATTGATACGCCAGGTGGCTTTCTCTTCTCTCTAACAATTGCTTCCTTAATCAGGGGCAATTTTTGATGTATCTTTTTCCATATGTGATTCACTGCACCATCTGGAGAAATGGGACCAATACCACCTGGATGAACATTATCATACTGAAATATCCGCTGAACCTTTGCCATATTTAGACGGAATTCATCCCTCTGCTTATCAGAAATGCTTCTGAGGTGATCCACCAGCCATCTGGGCTTCAAGGCATCATCAACTGCAACAAAAACTGAGAATTCTGTGTAATCCACCATGCCCTCAAAAGGTAGCTCTATGTTGTCACTTACAACAACAGGTATGCACAAGCTTTGGATGGCATCAAAAAGTCTGCAAGAAGTGGGCGTGTCCCCAGCTGGGTGCAAACAGAATTCTGACGTTCTCATCCCTCTAATGGACTGCTCCTTCCCAGTAGCATTAGGGAAGCCTTCTTCAATAATAACGCCTGGCTCATTAACCAGTAAGTCCCACAATTTTTCTCGAACCATGCCTCCCTGTCAACAATAATATTCACACATATCATCCAGCAAAACTGGAACGCATTCAGGTAAACTGGAATAGCCTCATAAAATAACACTAGTCCTAATCATCACTAATGAAATTAAAAACAAACAAGAGAGACCGAACCCTATGGCCCTACAACCCCATCATTCTTAAAAACAAGGTTAAAAGTCCAAATTAATATCTCCAAATGATTGCAAAAATTATGGAGTTACAAGAGAGAACAAAGAACAGGGGTATAATGAAGAGCTGCCTATTTATCTCATAAACCGGGGACACGCACACAAGGGACATGTCTAAATTTAATTTCAACTGAAGAAAAAAAGGAATGCTAATAGCTGCTGAGTTATCACATAAAAAAGGGTGCAGTGGATAATGAGGTGCCAAATCCAAGCTTGATTACTTGAATGTTTGACAATTAAACACGAAAAAAGAAAAATCAAGAAGGGTGGGATTAAAATAGGTTATTTTGTTCCCTTTTTGTATGCAAGACAATCTACTACCAAAACAGGAAACAATGCAATAGAAAATTTCTTAGTTGCACATTTAGTATGGTGCAAGTAGTATAATAAACTAACCTAAGCACATGTAATTGAAAACCCAAAAATTGGCTCTTCATTCAATAGAAATAAAAAGTTGCAACTTATCAAAAGAAATACCAAAGTAAATGACAGTATGTTAATTTCGATGCTTGAACAAAAACAATGCTCCTGATAGTTTCTGAATTGGATACTGACCCGGTGCCTATGTTTGGCTCCCTTGAAATAAAGAAGAGTATTGCGTTTCTTGTTCTCTGATAACTGCAATCTAGGAAGCAGATGAGTGTATGGAACAATCACATCTTTCAGCAGAGAAACTTGGGTATGCTGTATCATATCGGACGAACTACAATTCGACAACTTTGAGTCAAGCCTATACCACCCACCAAAGTCGACCACCAAGATAATAGCTGGGGCAATCTCAGCTCTTACATGCCACATCGCAACTGGGTCTGCCAAAGAATGCTTCAAGTTTTAACACAACCTGACAATCCAGAGACTAAAACATAAGCTGCTAAAGTATTCACAGCACTTCTATCGTCTTGCTTTATTGCATCATATTTATCAATCTTTTTGCAATGGCAATGATGTTATACATATCAGATTAACTAAATGTCCAAACCAACAAAAACAACTACTTCAAGCTCACTAACTAAGTAGTCTAAATTGAAGCAACTCAAATATTAGATCACTTACTAATGCAATTAAATCAAAGCCAACAACACTAATTAAAACAACTAATGTTACACATATAACATATCAGATCAATTGAAACCAACATAAACAAATGCTTCAAACTCAGTAACAAAGTAGCCCACTTTCAAACAACTCATACCAGAAACAAGCAAACCCCAAGACAGGTCCAGGAAAAAAGTTAGATCTCAATACACATAACCACTTACTAATTGAATTTATATTAACTAAAACCATAAAAAGGAGCGATGCTCAAACATAACAAACAACCAATGATCCAGAACAGATCAAATATAAAAAACAACAAAAACGAGTATTACTAAATCAATAAAACACACTACCTGTTAGAACAAAGACATGATCTTTCCCACCAGATCGCGTCCAAGCCGCGGAGTTTCTCACAATATCCACCACTTCCCTCTGCCTTTGATAATCCTCATTCCCCTTCTTTCTCCTAAAATTTCCCTTTCCTTTTGCAAGCTCCATTTCAGCACTCAATGTAGCAAAAAAGGGCACAAAAACAACATCGGCTTCATTAAAATCCAATACCCTTTCAGCAAAAGATCGAAACTTTAACTTCTCTGGTGTCATCAAGTCACCAGTGATCCAGTACTCAGCACTGTACTGCTTAATCAATGGATTCTCGGGATAATCAGGAAATTTCTGGTTTTTGGTGGGTTCGGGTCGGATCTGGTGATCTGGATCGAAGCTAATACGGGTATCGGGCATTGAAGAAGACCAGTACTGGTCAAGGAGGCCATAGTTGAGAGATCTAGGGAGGTCAGCTACATAGACTTTGATGGAATTTTGAGAGATTTGAAGGGCATTTTGGCGATTTTGGACAGATGGTTTTTCGCAGGAGAGGAGGAAGAGGGAGAGGGTGACGAAAGAGAGGAGAGTGAAAGTGAAGAAGAGACTGGGGGTGGAGCATGGAAGCGCACTGGTGGCTGTCTGTGGAGGTCGCATTTTTAGTCTAGGAATTTTGCTATCGGCTTTGAAAGTGGTGGCTTTTGTAGAGGTGGAGTTTTCCAGATTTGGGGAAGAAGGGTATCTTGGTCATTTAGATTTCAATTTTCGTTTTTTATTTTTGTCATATTGGAGGACGAGTTTTGGATTTGTGATAGAAATTGAGGGTGTGTTTGTTAAATGAAAAGTGTTTTGCATTTTCTATCTATAATTTCCTACGTCATTTCCATTTTTTATTTAGTAGAAAATTAGAAAAAATGTTCATTTACTGATATTGAGAAAATTTAAAAATGTGTTCAAAATATAGTAATTTGTATTTTTAGAATTTTGGAATGAAAATCATGTTCAACTTTTTTTTGTTTTTTCAAATTCATTAATTTTTAAGATGTTTTATATATCATGAAAATTAAATTTTATTTTCTATTATTTATTATTTTTTTCTTTTTTAGAAAACAGAAAAATGGCATAGACAATGGATACAGTTGAAATTAAATCAGAAGAAGAATAAGAACATTTTTGTTTGAAAATATTTATTATATTAAAAACTCATCACGTATTTGAAAAAAATGGTAATAGTTTGTATCATTTTTCATTCCAAGAAAACTTGTATTTGAAAATTGAATACAAAGTCATGTTTATCATTTTTCCTTTTTCTATTTGAAAAAATGTATGTAAGTTGATATTTAAAATATAAAGTAATAAAAAGTTCTATCATATTTTTTAAAATAAATTATAAATTAGTCCTATAGTTTTAAAAATTAATTAATTATTTATTTTCATCCATTTTATGTCTCTTTTCAATTTTTTTTTTGATTTTCACAAATAGAAAAGTTAAAAAATAAAATAGATATTATGAAAAATTCGATGAGGAAAAAATATTTTTTTAATTTTTTTAAAATGAATTAATATCAAATTAAGCGTTTTCAATATTGATTAAAAAAATAAATAATTTTTGAAAATAAATAGACTATTTAATTCATTTTGCTAACATAGAGAGGCTAATTTAAAATTTACTTTATTTTTTAAAGATCAATAAATCACTTTCCTTCATTTTGTAATTTGATCATACTCCCAATGTTGCCGTCCTTTACTCTTGAAAGATTACCATTGTAGTGAGTTTCTTTGTTTTGGTTTTTGCTAAATAAATAATTAAAGATAACTTTTAATTTATGAAATAGCTTATTCTCACAATAGTATTTTTCTTATATTATATTGTAAATTTTGAATAAATTCAAAGGAAAGTATGACAATAACAATTAAATATATTCACCTTGATATTTGTAAGAAGGGTAAACATCAAATTTGCCTCTATAGGTTCATCAATGTTCCACTTCTATCCTTGTTGTTTAAAATTTCTCAATGTTACCCTTTTAGTGTCCAAAAAGTTCTAATGTAACCCCCTAACCATTAAATAGCTTACTTTTAATGGAGGGTTTCTATTTGGTTTTGTAAGATCTTACAACAGACACAGTTTTTTTTTTTTTTTTAAACACACGCGTGCACGCACACACACAAACACAAACACAAACACTCACCAAAATTTTAGCTTTTGTGAGTTATTTCTTTAGTAAAGGGCAAAATTAAACCATTTTAAAACTATTAGGGTAATTTTGAGAAATTTTAAATTAAAGGAGTAGAAGTGGAACATTGCTGATCAATAAAGATCATAACTCCACCTCTGAACATCCCTAGAATTTTGTCCAATTTGATAGCCTAACAGTAGGATTTTGCTCGATTAAGTTTATATATAATTTTTTAATAATATTTTTTAGAAAAAAAATGCAAAAAAAAAGAAAAGAAAAAAGAGAGAGATACATATGAGGTTGAATATCCATCCGATACAGAACACACATCCATCCATGTTACCGTATGCACCAAGTAGACGTGCCTACAATGCAGCTTTCCATTGTTTTCACCTGTATATATATATATATATATATATCCCCTCCTTTAATTCATCTGCAAACACATGAATTGAAAAACCTGATAATTGGTGTCGGTTTGCCATTCAAAATGGGATAGGAAGTGTGACCCTGAAATTGTAATCAGTGACTCTAATTGACCAAAAAAAAAAAAAAAAAACTTAAAAAGAAAAAGAAAAAGAATAAAGGAAGAAGAAGAAGAAGAAGAAGAAAAGCTACATGCTAGAGAGAACTCTAGGTATACTGCACCATGATCTACCCAAACTCAAGCTACATTGGCGAAAAAAAAAAAAAAAAAACCAAACTTAGCTACAAAAATTAAGAGCAGCAACGGTAGACCAGAAGGTAAGAAATATGAACAAGATTTCACATTTAATTTTCCTAAGATGGTCATAAATGCAAACTCTTCAAGTGGAAAAGTGAGCTTAACTGCATCCATAACAAAAAAAAAAAAAAAAAAAAATCTAAGGAAAGACGGCGAGATAAATCTCTAATGCTATCACTTCTCGCAGAGAGTGCAGTAGTCTTCCTTCTCACAGAGAGTACAGTAGTTTTCCTTCTCGAAGTAGTTAACGCTCCATCACAACACCATCAAAATTCCAATCTCTTACAAGGTCTCTTCTCACGGCACGACTACGTACTAGTCGTGGGGGTCCTGTCATGTCGTCATCACTTGGATTAGCTGGTTGTGGGGTCACTTTGGATGAAGATGCAAAAGAGGAGTTGGTTCTGGGAGGAGGAAGAGATAACTTCCGGGTTATGCAGTTGGCAATGGCAGAACATCTTCCTTCATTGTCTGAACTCGAGACTGAGTAGCTTCTAAAGGAGTGTGATGGACTTTCTACGCTGTGGCACGCAAGACATGCTAGACTCATATTTTGTCCACTATTCTCAGGATCAAGGATATGTCTTGCTGCAAGGTACAAGCCAACGAAGGAAAAAAAAAGAACAAATCAGTATTTTGATAAATCAAATGTGGTATACATCAAAAAAATAAAAAATAAAAATCCATGAATGTGCTACAACTAAAACGCACATTCACACTCTTGCCTGTTTGACAGATGGAATTCCCAACTCTCAAGAACAAGATTCAGTGTATAGATGAATGTTGAAGATGTGTTTCTACTTTTAATTATGAAGTGAAAGCTGACAATGCAAATCCTCTAACTTTCCATGTAAATGTTTTAAATATTGTTTAGTAAGTGGATGATGACAGCGCATTGAAATGACATGTATTTATCAATAAAGAAATGCAAGCAAATATAATTTGACATCCAAATAGTGATCAACAAGCCATTCATGCACCAAGATTATGGATACTGGAGAGGCATATAGTGGGGGACAATAGAAGGTTGGTAAAAGCACTAGCAACGACAGAGATTGGTTGGGAATGCAAAGAGTCAATCCTTGCTAATAACAAGAGAAAACATTATTCCAGCTAGCCTGTATAGAGCATAAAATACTGTCTCAGTAACTATTCAGAGGTTTCTAGTTAGACACCGATACTGACATCTATGATTTACCCATTTGTGACTGCAGTTAACTTTGGAAGGTAGGAAATTATCAATGACATGATACTTACTTCCCCTATGTGATGCTACTTGTAAAATGAACATAAGAATTTTGTCTATCTGCCCCAAATTATAAATCCACAAATCGAATTTCCTCTTGGCATAAGATTTCCATCTTAATGCTTTGTATATTGAAAAAAGGAAAAAAGAGTTAATTGTAATAATGATAAGCAAAGCTGCAATTTTTTGGACATAAATCTAGCTAGAGCTACAATATCTTCTGTTAACATAGTAATGCTTCTTAAACGGATCCTAAAAGCAGACCATTCTATATTTTCTTTCTTTCTCACCACACTCTTCACTACTGAAGCTAAAGACCACAAGCTTCAATTGTCATATTTTCATCCTATCTGTAGCACACTGCAATTCCAATCCTCAAGGCATGAAAATGCAGTAAAAAGTCGGAAAATTCCAGCGCAATAAAGATGACTAAACTACTAATCTGTCACCTGACACACCTACTTCCAGATCACAATATATCATGAACAAACAAACTAGGATTCATCTTCTTAGACAATAATGCCAAAGGAACAAATATACCTTTAGAACTGGTTATATCAGACCTGAGACTCGGCATATTGTTGAACCCTGGCCTTGATAATAATGGTGCCATCACAATAGCATTCCAGAAAATTGCAATTGATCATGAATTAAGTGTATGTTAGGGACAATGGTGCATCCTTCACGGCCCCTTTTGCAGGCTTTGCACTGGAATCCAAATAGGTCTTAAATGTCATCCCCTCCATGAACATACTTTTTATTGTACTTTTAACAATGTTTCTCTTTCAAAAACGGTAAATAAAATTTCTTATTAGCTGAATGGCAAGGTAGCAAAATTACTATGACGAAACCTATAATTCATGATAGCCAATCTATTGCCAAGCTTTGGATTTTACCACTCGAGTCCTTCACAACAGGATTCTCCAAAATTCACATCCAAAGCCAATCATCTTTCCTTGCATTTGCCATACATACTTTCAAAACCAGCAACAACTAATCAGCATCCCCAAGTCCCACCTTTTTTCTACTACTCAATATTTCAAATAGATTTCATAGCAAGAAAGGTTAACTTTTATTTGCAGCCATACAACAATACAAGCCTCAAGACACTGACATAATACCACACGAGAGGGTGTTCAAGAAACTATAAATAAGATCAATCAATTCATATAAGATCTTTGTTAGGACAACCTACTTCTAATGTTTCCCACATACACAAGAAAGGATCAAACAATCACCGACATTTCAAGTTGACAAGCGAAACCCTTGATATACTTCAATTTTTCTCCATATTCTCATGCGGCACAACCCATTGAAATTAAAGGTCAGACAAATTTACAACTAGGGACAAATATGCGGCAACATGTACCTCAAAGAGCACATGTGACAGCACTTAGTTATGATAAGGAAAAGAGAAAGCTAATTCCTAAACAAATTCCAATCACACTTGGAGTAGAATAATCCACAATTTATCCCGGTAACCCAAAACACACAGAACCGACAGATACTATAGTTCAACACTGAGATTAACTATAATTCACACAGAACATGTAAAGAGAGAAGCAACAAGAGAAAGAAACTAATCAGCACCATGCTAATCTTATAAACCCATTAATCAAAATCCAAATTCAATATTTTCCATTAACTTAATCACTAGAACTAACCTCTTCCATCAAAACCAAGAAAACCCATCTCCAGAATCATAAATTTATCCCCATATTAGGCAATTGAAACGCAAATCAGATTAAATCCATCAAGCAGAACCCCATGCAAACAGACACGAATAAAAACAGAAGAGATCTAAAAAAAAAGAAGACAATTATGTTTAAGTGACTGAGATCCAAGAGAAACAAACCTTAAAAAAGAAAGTGGGTTACTCTTGTAATGGTAGTTTGCTGAGTTGTGGAGAATCCTGTGGAGGGAGAGATTGGATATAACAAAAAAAGATCCGAAAGATTAGAGTTCAGTTGTATTTATGTCTTTTAAGGAAAACAAGAGTTTATGAACGATTAATTATGAGTTTGCGCCTTTGGAAGCTCAGCCTTTCTTTTTTCGGTTACTACTTGGGCTATTATTTTGGCTCTGAATCCTAAGCAGTTCTTAAATAAATAATTTCAAATAAATATTTATAAACTAAATTCCATGTATAAACTAAACTTTATATCGGCTTACGCATCAAGCCGGATTAAGTCTCCTCCTCCGTCTATTCTCTACAGTATTATGCATTTGAAATAATTTAATAATTTTCTTTTTTTTTTAAAAAAAAAAACATACTTTTTAATTTTTTTAACCTCTCCCTCTATGCTTTATTTTTTCTTAACATGATCCCTCCAACTGTTTTCTTACTAATTTTTGAATCAAAACCGACAATTAACATAAAAAATTTCTTGTTTCATGACATGTCAGATTAATTTACCACATAAAAAAATAAAAAGACAAAAAATCCTAAAAATTACAAAACTATCCTAAAATCATTTTGCTCTTTCTAAATGATAAATTAATATGATATGTCGTGCCACAAAAATTATTTTCAATTAACTGTCAGTTTTGATAGAAAAATTAGCTGAAAAACAATCGGATGAGCTACATTAAGAAATTGAAGAGAAGAGGGAGAAGTTGAATAAAAAAAATACAAGAATCACATTAAGACAAACAAAAGAGTAGAGGGATGTTTAATGCAATTGAACCAATTTAAAAATGTGTTTTATCTCTTTTTTTTTCTTATTTTATTTACTTATTTATTTTAAGTATCTTCATCTCACGTTAAAAATAAAACTCGAAATAAATGTGATTTAAAACTCAAACTTTACATATTAGCTGAACCAACAATTTATTGGTTTATTGTCTCTTATTTTACTCCTTTCCCAAGCACCATCGACGCATTAGCTTATTGCATTCTAGCGTGTACTTAGCATGTGTTAAATCAAACAACAAAAGGAAACAAGAACGTTTCTCGCATAGGGAGAGTAGGCTATCCATCTTCTAATTTAAATTCTTTTATCCAATCTATTAGAAAAATATTCTATTCATATCTGTTAGAATATATATATATATATATATATATATATATATATATATATATTTTAAACTCATCCAATTCATATCTCGTTTATTCATCTATTTAATATTTATAAAATGATTTATCAAAATATTTCATTTTAGTTTCTATAATTAATTTTTTAAAAATATTTTGGTCCTTAAGTTAATTTTTTTTAACAATTTAGTCTTGTTTATATATTTTTGGTCTTCAAACTTTTCATAAAAAGCATTTCGGTCTAATTTTATAAATTTATGCAATCAAGTCTCTTTATGTTAATTAATTTTCTTTCAAAGAAATTAATGGGTATTAGTAGGTTATAAAATAGGTATTTATATTAACATTATATTAGCAGCTAATTTTTTTTTTTTATGTTTATATTTTAAAACTTATTAAATATTTTTAATAAATATTTATTAGATGAATAAGACGTGTAATATTCGATCATATTCTCACATGACTAGACCGAATTAATACGGGCTCGAGTAGAAGGCCTACATGCCATAAGATGGCCCAATGATTTTTTGTTTTTTTATTTTTTTATTTTTATTTTATTTTTACAAGTGTGGTAATCAACTTTTCCGAATGAGGAGGAAATTGTCGGGATAAGCGGGGTTAAAATCTACACATGGGTTAATCCTTCATGTTGTAATCAATATTATGTCTTTCAAACTTAAATATATTTAAAGTATTCCTTAATAATATCTATGTCGTGACTTATTTTAGTTTTGATACCTCCACACTCCGAATAATTAGAAATTTGTAGTTTTAGTTTTATTTTTTAAATCATACTCTTTAGTCTCTAAAAATGCATAGAGAGAGAGAACAAATTTATGGATTAATTATTTTAGAATTATTACAACTTTTTTTTTTTTTTTTTTTGGGTCTGTGTAATGGCGGGTAGACAATATATATTTTCAGAAGTGGTTTAAGTTATGAAATTGGAAAACAAAAAGACAGTCAAATATTGAATAACTAACTGTTATTGAATCAAGATTAATCAAGAATTTGAAATAACTATGTATATTTGTGGTAATTTCTAGAAAAAGTACAAAATTAGGGTTAGTATCTTCATCTATCCTTATATAATAATTGAACTGAAAAAAATCTTCAATCTGTTTTTATATTTGAGCTAGTTAGTTTCTAATCTATATATCCTTTTGAAGTAGTTAAATTTTTTGATCAATTCATTAGAAATTAAGTATGTAATTTGCACATAGTATATTATTAGTTAAAATTATTTTTATTATTTGATACAAATAATCTATATTTACTAATATAAAGATTAATTTTTGATGAATTGATGGAAAATATATTTGACAAGAAAAATAAATTAGAAACCAACTCAAAATATAAAGCTAAATTAAAAATATTTTTTTAGGAGCAGATTGAAAAATATAAGAACATGTAAGGATATTAACTGAAAAAAATCAAATGGTGAGTAAAACATATTTTTTTATTGCTATACACGTTAGACTTGGGGTATGCATCGTGTATCTTGTAATTTCTTTCAATCGAAGTAGCTAGTTTGAGTCCTGAGAACATTAATTTTTTTTTTATATTTTTTATTACTGTTTTGTAAAGAAAAGCTATTTCTATTATGCAGTAAAACATATTTTGGACTCTTTGATTCATTAAAAAAAGGGTCATAAATGAAAGTATTTATAGATTAAACATTATCATATTTTTTATGTCCAGGATATTCAGAAGGATACCGTCTATATTTCGCTCATAATTAATTACACATCATATATATAGCTTGTATATATTTGACTTATATTAATTGTACTAATTAAAGATAAGAAATTAACATATAAATTCATAAAATATAAAATTGTAAACAAATATGGATATTTTCTGCTTTCACTAGGAATATTTTGCATCCTATTCTCCTTCGGATTAGAGTACAGTAGAACGTTTTGTCTCTATAAATCCACGGCAAAACAGAAGAATATGGCTATCTATATTAGTTCCTCTCTGGCTCACTTTCTTAGCACATAAGTTTTCTTCTTTTGACTAGCTTTCCACTAGTTTCAATGGCGTCGACAAGAGTTGATTTTACCCTGACTGCAAAAACCACGTATTTTGTTGATCCAAAGAACAGCTTTGAACCCATGTTCGTTGTCAAACTTTTGTTTCAAAGAAAGTGCCAAACATCGGTAAGAATCACAGGCGGACCACAAGATTTGCCAGTTGATGAAAGCCCAATTGCTCAAAACTCGATTTTGTTTGAAATTCCTTTTCAAGTTGTTGCTCAACCTGAGTCAAGCCTTGCTTATATTTCCCACATAATTCATGGCTTAAATATTCGAAGTGCATCTTTATCGAACAATTTGGCCTCAAGGATTGCTTCCTTTGCTGACAATCTTTTAAGTAAAGGTTGTTTTGGATTCTACGTGTTGGCTTGTCTGGGAGTTGTTCATGAGGAAATCGTTAATGAAGTGGTATCGGACAGTGAAGAAGATGATAGTATTGCTGATGAATCCACCGGTACTCAATGTGCATCAAAGATCAACCTTGAAGATTGGATCAAGATGTAATTAAATCAATGTTACGATGTGATTCTTGGCTTTTTCTGTTTTTTTTTTAATTGTCAATTTTATTTTAACATTGATTTAAAAAATAGCAATAATATTAAAGTATTTTTATCTTATTTTATTTGGTTTCAATGCTTAATATATCCCGTCTTCTCCTTTGCTATTTAAATAGTTGTAACACCATCTTAACTAGCAAAAAACTATATTTAAAACTAAGAATTTATGGATTTTGACATTATAATTAACACACACACATAGAACTACCAAACGAAGGATGGATTAGGAAGTTAAACTCCTCATAGTGTATATATATATATATATATATCAATCCTTGGTAAGTCTCCTAATTAAAACAACAAAAGGATCATCATTAATGTAGCAAATCACGAACTAGATATAAATATATAAAAAATATATAATTTCTGTTGCTGAATTTGATTAATTAATGAAGAAGAGAGAACTCCCTTCCCTTCTTTTAGGTTTTGAGAGACTCCTCCTAAGTTTTATCATAGCTACCGTCGTCGGGCGGTATCATTTTTTATTTTTTATAATAATCCTATATTTAGGTTTATGTCCTTAGGTATGAAGTTTTTGTTTTTTAATATTCAATTTATGAGTTTTTTTCTTAGTAGGTCTATGGGGTTTTCAATGGAGGTTCATTTGATGGATCTTAGTATGTTGGAATTGATTTGATGGTGGACAACGCTTCAAAAGAAAAAAAAAAAAAAAAAGGTCTACAACGTAAAAAAAACTACTGATCGGTATTAGCTAGATCTAAGATTAAGTCAGTGGTTCTTTTCTCTTAATTATATACCATTCAAGTAGCTAAGATTTTGATTGCTCTAATATATTTTTCCTCTTTTCTTTGGATGTAATCTTCTTGCATTTGTCTTAAATTGCCCATTTGACACTACAAACTCACTTTGTATTCATCTTTCATTAAAGAAATTTCGTATATTTGAGACAAAGAAAGGAAAGGTTAATGAGAAATGTCATCTTGCCTGCATATCTCTATAGTTATTATTATTATTATTTGTCAAAACAAACAGCTAAAAGGTACTTCAAAGGAAAAAAGAAAATAAAAGAATGATTAGCAAATAAAAGAAAACTAAAAATAAAAAAGCTGAGAAGGCCAAAATGAAAGAAAACGAGATTGAGTTATATATATATATATATATATATATATAATGAATTACATGAAAACTAAATTACTCATCAAGATATACAAAATCTCCATGTTGCAACTACAAATTGAATGATTCATTAAACTTAAAATGTATATTTTTTACAAGAAAAAAGAGAAAACCACGAAATCTTAAACTTTAATGGAAGGACACTTTAAAGATCATATTGAAACACTTCATAGCCACCCTCAGATTTGTTCCATCAAGTGGCAAAGCTCAAACTTTTGCCAAGGATGGGAGAAGTAGTAAATTTATTTGTATGTATCTACTTGTCTTACAAACTACTCTTACCGATATCTTAATAAACTGGATAGTGTACAACACATGCTTTTTTTATTGTATTACTTTAAATTATTATTAATATTTATTTTAGTTTTATGATTTGAATTTTTACGTATTTTATTATTTTCTTTGAAATAATATATGTTTTATGTAATTAACTTAAAATTTTATGGCAAGCACACATAAAGTTTTGTAAATTAATAAATATAAAAGAAATGAAAATGTTTTCTTATTGTAATGTAGTCCATAATGTTGGGGGTATGCTTTAGGTCTAGATCATGAATGACCTTATAGCATAAAAAAAGAAAAAAAAGATAGAGAGAGAGAGAATAAAGTAAAAATAAAAATAAAAATAAAGGACGAAAAGTGCATGTTTGTGGGTATGTATGTGGCGTGAATTGAAACAAAGGAAAGTTTTTCCTGTTTTGTTTTTGACTTAACACATTATAAAAGGAAAAAAAGTGGTTGTTTCTTTAGGTATTGTTACTAAGGAGAGTAACAAAAGATGAAAAGTAAAAAAGATTCTTTCTTTGATTTTGTGGATTGCTGTAATAAGAAAATAAGGATTTTTAGTGCACCAAATATTGAGTTTTCTCTAGTATTGATTTTTGAGTATTATAATTACGGAGAAATATAGTGTTTAAAAAAGTGATCTCACAACAAGTATTAGATTTTGTAAAATTACAAAAATTTTATAGATTTTAGGTTTTGCGGTGAGACAGATTTAACTAGAGAAGTAATTTTTATTATTGTCAATACTTTTACTTCTTAAATTCACAAAAAAACTTGAGTGATTGCATTACTTTCTTAATTATAGAATACTATTTAGAAATTAGTCTCATTGTTTTTCCCTCTACGATAACAAGAGTTTTTCATGTAAATTTAGTATTTTTATGATTTTGGTCTTGATTATTGCTTGTTTTTGTGTTTGATTTGATAAATATTTTCTCACGTAATTTAATTTATACGGAATGATATTATATTCCTAATAAGTGGTATCCGAGCTTTGGTTGGAATGCTTGTGTAAATTAGATAGAAAAAAATCATTTAAGAAACTTGATCAAATTGATAGTTTGGAATATTTAATTTAGAAATCGAGGATGTAGAATTTATTTTACTACCATAATTTGTTTGATTCTCGTTGAATTGAATAAAGTCAACAATAAAGATTGATGATGTTTAGAAAAGGAGTATAGGAAAGCTATTGGAACTATGAAATAGTGGGGGAACGATAATGTGTTTCACCATCTCTTCAAAGATGCGAATGTCTAAGAATTATGGAAACAAATAGAGAGTATATATGAAAGAAAAATTGAACAAAATAAAGCATCTTTGATTATGAAGTTTGTGAATTTAAAATACCAAGATAAAAGGTTCGTTGCTAAACACTTGAATGACTTTCGTAATTTGATTAATCAGCTTGATAACTATGAAAACTATACTAGATGATAAGTTACAAGCACTATTACTTTTAAGGACTTTTCTAGATAGTTAGGAGATTTTGATTGTGACATGTGGTAACTCTATCCTCGAATAATATTTTATCGCCATCCATTGCTAAAAATAGTTTGTTTAATAAAGAAACAATACTTAGCAAAGTGATAGCAGATGATTCATAAGTTTTTATAATGAAAAATAGAAGGAGAAGTAGGAATAGAGAATTTAATGAATGCATTAAATCCAGAGGTAGATCATAGTGTAGTGGTAGTTTTAAATATTATCACTATAGGAGAGATAGTCATATCAAAAGAAATTGCAAGTCATGAAAGAAAAAACAAAAAAGAATTGAAGAATCGAAAAAGAAGATAATGAGAAAACCACTTTAGTAGTAACTTCAAATTGGGATGTAAAAATGCTCTCATGTAGAGAGAATAAATGTAATGTTTGTATATCCTTGTATTGAATAGGTTGTTGACCCAACAATTGTATATCATGCTACTTTTAAAAATAAATTCTTTATTATGTATAAAATAACAAACTTTGATAGAGTAAAGGTGGACAATAGTAGTTATGCTAGTGTTCTAGAGGTTGATAATGTGCGTATAAAGACATATATAGGTTGTTCACTAACTTTGAGGCATATGTTGCTTGTACCAGCTTTATACTTGAAACCGATTTCTATTCATGCTTTGAACATTACCTGGATCCTATAATAAGTTTAGTAAAGGAAGATAGACACTTAATAAGGGATTAATGGTTGTTGCTTGAGGTGATATTTGTGATAAACTATACGGATAAAAGTGTAGTTTATCGGACCTAAAAGAGTGCCATTAAATATGAAACTTCTTCAAAATTATAGTATAAATGATAGGCTTAAGTGAATGGAAAAGAAATTTTGTGTTATTTTTGACAAGGAGATTATCATATATGGGAGAGTATTGATTAAAGAATATGATATTGATATTGAGTTAATAGTTAGTAATAATGATGATACAAACATAGAGAGTGTTGACTAAGGAGAGCAAGACCCTCCACTTCAAGATGTAGAGCCTCACGTGAGTAGGTCTATTAGTCAATTTTTTTTTAATCAAGAATTTTAGTTCTAACAACGTCTTGTTCATGGATGAAAGAGAGCTAGGTAGCTTTTGTAATATTTTAATTTATGATAAAGGTCATGAATTAAAGTTTAATCATTAGTGATGCCATTAGTTTTATGAGGTAATGGACAAATATTTAATGATGTCGAGAATGATCCTTCTAGATAAAGATCTTGTTGATAAAGAACAAAATTGATAACGTGTAAAAAGAATGGATTATATGCCATTGTGGCTCTCTAGATGATAAGTTTAGATTTTTCCATCGTAGACTAAGGAGGGAGATTTGTTGGGTGTATGTTATGGGTCAACCCTATGAATGACCTTAACATAAACATTATAAAAAGTTATCAATGAAGAGTATGTTTTGAAAGACATTACCTCTAAGTTAATGGAGCTCTAGTTGGTAGAGTGTAGGCCACTAATTACTTGTACTTTATTGAAGAGGAATTGGATTTCAAAGGTATGGGCCACAATAAGGCTTTTTATATCACTATGAAATTTAAAAATCATATGATAGCCAAGATGTTGATTGATAATGGATCTCGCCCTCATTGTGTTGCCTAAATATATACTCGGATCGTTTATCAATTAATGCTTTATACAAAAGACATAGCAAAGTGATGACAATAACTTATGATAGTACGCCTCGATAGGTCATTAAAGATATTGACATTTATTTAGATATTAAGTCACGAGTAGTTCTTTATCACTCTACAAGTGATTGATATTTTATCAACCTATAGTATGATGTTAGGAAGACTATGGATTCACACTTTGATAGAGTCGTTATTTTATTGTTTCATTAGGGTCGTTGCTTTATTGTTTCATTAATGGTTAAAGCATATTACCAAAAAGAGACTAGTTATCGTGAAAGCCAAAGAGGCCATAGCTAAGGTCAAGAATATGTATGTACCGGATATCGAGGTAGAAGAAAGCCTTGATAAACATCTACATAACTTCGAGATAGTAGATACTCGAATTAATTCCTAAAAATACTCTAAAGAAGAAGCCACAACTATGAAAATAGTAGCAAAGTATATGGCTAAGTGTGAGTTGCCACCATTTGATATGAGTTTCGGATTGCCTAAGAGAGTGAATTATATTAAGATGAAAAATGATGACCAATACTTTGGGTTGGGTTTTAAGCCATTAAAGAAAGATTATTAGAGTTCCATAGGGAAAAAAACGAGATAAAAGGATGGTTCACATCGAGATGCGTGATCCTAGTGAGGAAATGATTAACGTTCCTTCTATTTGTGTCACTTTTTCAAAACCTTCATATTTGGCTAACATGGGCGATGAGAAAATAAGTTTGAACTAGCTATTCTATGATATGACAGTGAACACTTTAGTAATAAAGAACGCCAATGTTAGGAGTTAAGTTATATAGCCTATACCAATGCTTAATAACTTAGAAGGGGTGGTATTACATAGCTTAGTGTCAACACATTTGATAATATCTTTGATACTCGGTCGGCGTTGTTGAAAATGCATCAATGAAGATGAGTTTAATAATTAGTTTTGTGAAAAAGTGCATGTTGTCTTTAAAGTCAAGTAATATCCTTATCAAAAAAATTATCTTTGCCTTTTCGGTAATTATGGCTTAAAATACTGAAAAAGGAAATCTTTGTATAAAATTTATATAATTTTGTTTTAGGAATAATATCAATTTGCTAGATCATGTGGATTTTCTTTTGAATTGCCTCTTTTTCATTCGTTTTATTTGTACTTTTTGTTTTATTTCAAGGGCAATCAATATAATCATCTCTTACAATTCAAAAGGATTGCATTGAAAATAATTGGTTTAACTTTGATGAAAATTTAATTGCAATTGACGAAAAAGAATGAAATGAGAAAGATATCCAAGAATTGACAAGGCTAGTAGAGTTATTAGAACAACCTATCCACGTAAGGAAAAAATAAAAGAGATCAATGTGGTAACAAAAGAGAATAAAAGAGAGCTAAAAGTATTAACCTTGACTAAAAATGTTGAGGAAAAGAGATTGAATACCCTATTAAAAGAGTATGCAGATGTGTTTGTATTGTCCTATGCTAATATGTTAGGTCTAGACATTAAAATAATGGTGCACAGATTGTCCTTAAATTCGGGATGGAAACTACTAAAGCAGTGAGAAATGCAAAGGATGCGTTTTCGAGATATAATCAAATTAAGATGAACATGAAAGATAAAGAAATCAATTTTGTCACACCCTGACTAGAGAATGTAAAAATAAAATAAAATAAAATAAAATCAAAGAATACAGTATAGTATCCAAATATGAGAGAAATCTTTCAAAGACCCGTCAAAAACGGAAGGTCAGAACTATAATTTAGTCATAAATAAATACACCACCACAAAATTTTCTTCAATTTCCTTTCGTTTTGTACCATAAAAACGCAAGCAGATAGTTGAGAAAATGTTTATTTAGAGACTCAGAGCATAGTACACGGTACATTACCTGGCCATCTAAATCATATGCAATTTGCCGGTTACTCTCGGCATCGGAGGTGCTTCATCTTCCAAAACATGTTCATATAAATTGATAAAGGAATCATATAGGAAGATTAGCATGCTATATATAGAAGTCAGCTGCATGTATATGTGCATCTCATTCATTTCTAATTAATACAAATTCTCTACATAATATAGATAAACAATGGTTTCCATATTCAAAAGGCAATGTTTCTTTGCAATCTTCCTCGTTTTAGCGACTTGGGCATACATATCAAGTTACTTCTCGTGAGCTCCAGGAGTCATCTATGTCTGCCAGGCATGATCAATGGATGGCAACATATGGCAAGGTCTATGCAGATGGTGCAGATAAAAGAGAGACGGTTCAAGATAATCAAGGACAATATTGAATAAATAGAATCATTCAATACTGCTGGAAACAAACCATATCAACTAAGTGTTAATAAATTTGCAGACCTAACCAATGAAGAGTTCAAGGCTGCCCGTGGAGGTTACAGAAGGCCACATCAGACAAGGCCAATGAAAGCAACGTCTTTTAAATATGAAAACGTTACTGCTGTTCCTGCTACCATGGACCGGAGAAAGAAAGGTGCTGTTACTCCTGTCAAGGATCATGAATTCCAAACAATGGAATATTTGTACCAATATTGTCTTGCACATTAGTATTTGACAAAAGTTTCCTGCATCTTTCTATTTGGAACAGATTGCTTCTAACGCGGCAATCTTTATGATACTTGTGGTGCCATGGATGTAATTGGTTTATTTCTGGAGCTGTCAAAACATCCTCGCCATAATTCAAGAATTTTACCGCAAAATCACCAAAAAAAAAAGTCTGACATGCAAAATACAGAAAATTAATTCCTCACAACCGTACTTGAGTGGTGAGGAGTTCATTATATTATATAGAAGATTGAAATTAATATACAGAATTAATTGTACAAATATACATAATGTTGATTTTATAAAATCAAGTAAACATTAAATATCATAATATTGATTTCTTAGAATCAAAGGAGATTTTATTTAATTGGACCTTAAGTTAGCACACCTTAAGTTAGAACTGTAAAGCCTCGGAGCAATGCTTGCACTGGTCGGTTGTGAGAGAGATTTTGAGCGGCGGTTCGGGAGAGAATTCGAAACGTTTCGGTGGGGAAGACATAGTAGAGAACGGTACGTGGTGGATTGCCAGCGGAGGAGGCAGCCATGGCCGGTTTCGGGTGGCGAAAAGAGCGTGATGAAATGAGGTTTCCCAGCTGTTTTACCTTCCTTAGGTAATGCTTTTTATTAGTAATCGATGAAAAAGTACTAGACCAGCTGGTTTGTGGAGAAGGGAAACACTAATTTGGACAAGAAATTGGGATGTTTTTTAATTACCAATGAGATTATGGATTAGGCGTTAGTGGACTCTCGCTAGTAGCCAAGAGGTCACGTCATGGGTTTAGTTTCGGATAATTACCAATTTTAAATCTTTTGAGTATAGTAATTTTTATTTTTTTGAATATATTAATTTTTATTTTTTTGAACTATCAATCAAATTTTGTGGTCAAAATTTTTATTTAGTAATGATTTATGTTTTTTTCCTTCTAAATTATCATCATTATTTCTTTTTTTTTTAAAAAAAAGATTTACAATATATATATATATATATATATATATATATATATATATATATATATATATATATATATATATTGACATTTTTAACTAACATGGTTACATAGAACTCTCAACTTGATGCTATTCAATAATAAATTTTAATTAATTTACTTTCATTATTTTTGAGATGTTATTGATATGAAATTTATATCAAAACTAATAATAAGAATTGCAGAAATTAATTTCTTTGAGTATACTGAGATTTAAAATATTGATTGTCTTAAAAACATTTTTGTGCTTTAAAATTTCTGTTTCTTTCCCTTAAGTATTTTATTATAATCCTTTTTTTTTGTTCCTTTAAAGAATTTTGGTAATTAGAGTACACTATTCCCCTTTATTTTCCTTCAAAATCAAGTTTATTTCAAGTAACAAAAGAAATAAAATAATACTTCCTAAAATTTAAAATAAACCAAAAAAACTAAGCAAAAAGTTTGACAGAGAAAAAAAAAAGAAACATGGAATTAAAAAGGACCAGCCTTTTCCATGTTTCCTTTTTATTTTCCTTATGTCAAAAGGAATTAATATTAGTACTTGGTTTCCTGTTTTGGACAGGGATTAGCAATATTGGTGAAATCCCGGATTACATGGGTTTCTTGTTCATAGGTTTCCTCTTCTAAAACGGATTAAGGTTGTTCATAGGTTTCTTCTTCCAAAACGGATTAAAGTTGTTCTTTCTGTCACTATAAATACAAAGGCGAAACAGCACAGTTCTCTCTATCCATTAATCAAGTAATCAGTTCACGCTCTCTTGCTCGCTCTGTCATCACGTCCATCTTCTTGTTTCTCTTTTTCAATGGAACTTACGAGAGTTGATGAAACCCTAACGGCATTGAGCACACTTATGGTAGATCCAAGCAGTCATCGTGGTCCCATGTACGTTGTCAACATCAAGTTACAAAGAAAGTGTGAAATAAGGTTGAGAGTCGCAGGAGAAGAAGAAGAAATTCTATTGGATTCATACCCATTACTCCAGAATCAGGCTGTTTGTTCCAAATTCCTATTGAAGTTGTTGGTTTGCCTGCTTTATTCATTCCTTACCTTGCCCACAAGATTTCTGCCTTCAATCTTGCTGCTTCGTTGTGTGACAATTTGGCCTCAAAAATTGCGTCCTTTGCTTACGGTCTAATAAGACGCTGTAGGGGATTCCATGTGTCAGCTCATGTGGATCTTGTTGATGTAGATGTACATGAAGTTGCACCAGAGGAGATCAGGGCAATATTTGATAGCGAAGGTGCTACTGTACCAAGGGGGGCATCCGAAAAAGTGTTGAAGAAGTTGAAGAAGGAGAGGTTTTACCTGAAGCAGGGCAATGGTGATTCTTCTTCTGGTAGTAGTTGCGTAGTTTGCTTGGAGGACTTTTCCACTTCAGTTGAGCTCACAAAGCTACCTTGCGCTCATGTGTTTCATGAAAAATGCATCTTTCGTTGGTTGCAAAATTCCAAATCCTGCCCACTTTGCAGAACTGATGTGGAATAGGTCAATAGCTCAAAATCGACAGTAATTAGTCCGTTCAATTAATTTGTAAACTTACTCAGTTGTCTGAAAAATTTAAATCAAATTGTATTACAAGTAATCAAAATTTTATTCATTTAAGCATTTGTATTACAAGTAAAACAATTTCCCATGTTGATTATCAACAGTCACGTATAATTTATGATGAAAATATCTCATCAGGAATTGTCAGAAAATGTTTGGAGCATAGTTAGAATCATTTACAAAATCTTCTCACTTCGAAACCCCAAATACTTTTAGTTTATGAATGAATGTGAAATTTTCACTTGTCAAAGGAGACCACACGCAACTATATGCCCTGCAGATAAGAAAACCTAGAAGGAGAATACCAAACACCATTTTTATTCTTAAAATAAGTCATGCTCAAATTAATCAAATCACAGAAACAACCATATTAATCAAACACCAGATCAGGTGGCAAGAAACAGGGCTACATGTCTATGCCTATATAGCACCCATTAAGACACCAGATGAATACTGCATCCAAAAAGAATCGAATAGCATGTCAGTGCCTATGCGTAGAAAGACAAGCTACATGCTATTCTAGGTTTATTATCAGGACAAAGCCTGTCCATCTTTCTACTTCTGTCATAACAGGTTGGTCCTCTGCTTCCAATCCGTACCTGTCGGTGCCATCATTCAAGCCTCTGTCGCTGTTGTAAAATCTTACTCGGTTATTAGCAATTTGCTATGTCCGATCAATGCATCTATGACGTCAATCATCTGCAACGAAATTGCACCGCGTTGGTAGCTATCATTGGTTAAATACTATTATATCATTAAATGCTTTTGCTGCTATCAACAGGTTACCTGTCCCAAAATGCAAGTGATCACCATAATATTGACACCCATCAGGATGAACATAACAAGTATCTACACCAAATTTATTACCTCAACCATAACCTCCACGAAACCTTCAAAAGGAAGCTGGCTGGCCAATCTCAACACCCTCCAAACCAAGGCAAAATGTCCTAGATGACCACGTGAGGAGAAATCAATTTGCCCTGCTGACCTTTATCCTCCATTTCTCTCCCTTCCATATCCGTAGCATTTTTTTTTTTTTGGGTGAAATCTTATATCTTTGTCACTTTTTTACATAAAATAATTGATTTTGAATCAATACTATTTACAGGTTGTCTAATTCTATTGATCTATATATGAAAATTTAAAGGTTTTGAAAACCCAGTTGAAATCTTATATCTTAATTTTAATTGTACAGAAAGAAAATTTTTTTTTGTGATTTCGTTTCATGCAAGTGCCTTTTCTCAACAAAATTATATAAAAACCACATTTTAGCTTAATAAGTACTTAATTTAAATTAACTGGTTCTTTTTGCTATTATATTCTAGGAATTGAGAACTGATAAGACATGGACATGATGGACAGTTGTGATATAATTGAATCACTTGTTCCAAGTATCTATCTAATTGACTGCATATAATAGTAAACTTTTGAGGATGTTGCTTCCAGAATTTCTCTGCTATAAATGATGGAAATAATCAGTCTCAATCTACATTTCTACCTATGCCTTCTATTTCAAGCTATGCACCAATGCTCCTAAAAATATTTCAACTTCTATCTGCACTCTGCAGGACATGACAAAATTAACAAACTCAACAGTCAGTACATTCACCTATTTGAGTTTAATGGCCTTAATTCTTCAACAATAAAACCTTCGAAGACGAGGCCATCGTGTCTTCATGGTTTGCCATCATCTGTAAGAACGGAATTAATGTTGTAATTCATATCGCTTTTAGTTTCTCTTTCCCTGGTTCAAAGGGCATTAATATTCGAAAAAGATTATAACATGAAAGAAAAATGCTAGCGACGGATATATTTTGTCCAACCACACATATATTATACGCACAAATGACATCCTGCTGTTGCAAGCGTCTACACTGTGAATGAATTGCCTGTTTCGGACTTGAAATGTTCAATAAATGCAGTTCCATGTTCCACTCTTCTTTTCTTGAAGAGCAGGTCAAGACTTGGTAATAGGAAGCAGACATGCTGCAGTTTGCTCCAAGTGTGAGGCAATGTTTTTTCTGCAGTACCATTGTCTCCTATGCATCCCACACATTTGTTAATAGCTTATTCAATAAACATAACTACTCACTGTCTTCACACCAACCAGTCCTGAACCACATTTATGCATAGCTCAATCCCAAGAATGTAAATTCACTGTTGCCAAAATTATTGGAATTGGTTGCTTCAGTTTTTGTTCAGTGCTAAGAAACTAATGCAACTCTGTTACGTTGTGACATGCTTTCATTTTCTGCATAGTCCCTACTGTACTCTTAAGTTCACATTATTCAAATTTCAGAGGTGAGTCAATCTATGTTAATATGGAAGATCAAGTAATAAATGTCACGTAAGAAAAAGTAGGTGTCCATTGAAAATTCATCCAAGACTCTTCTCCTTATAAATTAGCTATTCCTTGCATCTCATTCTACACACAAATCATTGGTCCAAACAAGCTACCAGTTTAATCAAAATGGCCACACAGATAGAGTCAAGACTTTTCTTATTAACCCTCCCTATCCTTGCATGTGTTTTTCCAGGCAGTGGTTATGCGAGGGAAACAGAGAAGAATGGAGCTATCATTAAAGGGATGTTTGTGTTTGGAAGCTCTCTAGTTGACAATGGCAACAACAACTTCCTCAAAAACTCAATAGCTAAAGCTGATTTTTTGCCATATGGAATAGACTTCCCTTATGGTCCATCTGGTAGATTTACAAATGGGAAAAATGTAATTGACCTCCTTTGCGACCAGCTTAAGCTTCCTTTGGTTCCTGCTTTCACTGACCCCTCGACTAAGGGAAGCAAAATGATCCATGGTGTCAACTATGCTTCTGGTGCTTCTGGCATACTGGATGACACCGGCTTACTCGCAGTAAGATGGCCTCTTTTTTTTTTTTTTTTCGTTGTACATGTTAAAATCTTCATACTAACTTCTATCAACCATAAAAAGACAAGTTGGCTTCATGAAACTGGCTTAGATGCTTAATGGCTTGCTTTCAGGGTAATGTGATCAGCTTAAATCAACAAATAAGGAACTTTGAGGAGGTTACCTTCCCTGTATTAGAAGCTCAAATAGGATTCAAAAGAGAGTTACTTCCGAAGTACTTGTTCGTTGTGGGAACTGGAGGGAACGATTACTCGTTCAACTACTTCCTGAGGCAATCCAATGCAAATGTCAGTCTTGAAGTCTTCACTGCCAACCTGACAGAGAAACTGTCAGGGCAACTTCAGGTGCATTCAATTTCCTATCTTCCGCGAGAAAGAAACGGATACTGAAAATTGATCTGCATTTAATTTTTAGTCGCAGTTCATTACTTCCTGCCGGTCTTCCAATTAAATAGAACACCGATTTGTAGTTGAAGATCATTTCTTTGTTTTATTTCCTCGTGACGTTCACACCTCAAAGTTGCCCTAACATTATTCATGTAGAGGCTTTTCTGACCAAGTTCTTCTTTTTGAGGTGTATTTGTCGTCCTTTTCCTTTATCCTAAATTATAAAGGAGACGAGGAGTTTTAGCTAGATGTGCTAGGCAAATACTATTTAAACACCAAAATGGAAATAGCTACAGCCAAACTTTGTAGGGAATCCTTGTTGAATTACCGGTTAGTTTTTATCCTCTCTAGACTTTCCTTTTCTTTTTCCTTTTTTCCTGGAAATTTCTCCTTTTTATTTTTTTATGGAATTGGGAGTATGTTCTTGTCTAATAATTGTCTAAGGACTACTACACACCTAACTTTCTACTTTAGTCCTTCACGTTAACTATTTTTGTCTGACTAGTGAAGCCTTGTAGCTGAAGAAACTGTCACTATTACCTTGATTTTTTGAGACAGAGACATCAATGCTCAGGGTTCTCTGTACCTTGATGGTCATTATTTTATCAAGAGCCTTTCTCCAATGCTTTCGGAAAAATAGGAAGATATCATTTTCTTGGATGGCCAGAGGTTGTGTACCAGTAATTAACAAATTCGGCCTGGTTTTTTGGCCGACAAGGTCCTGGTCTTCATGTACCATTTCAGTTACAAGCTGAGTTTGAACTTTCAACAAATTTGATCAACGTTGTCTAAAAATTTGATGGGCAGGATCATGTTTAACAACTTTATTCAATATATTGTTTCTGCAGAAGCTGTACCGTTTAGGGTGTCGCAAGTTTGTGTTGATGGCAGTTAACCCAATTGGGTGCAGCCCTATGGTCAAGGCAAACCGACCGACACGTAATGGCTGCATTCAAGGTTTGAACAAGGCAGCTCACCTCTTCAATGCTCACTTGAAGTCTTTAGTAGATTTCAGCAAGCAACAAATGCCTGGCTCAAACCTCGTCTTTGTCAATTCATACAAGATGATCAGAGATATTATAAAAAATCCTGTCTCCAGAGGTACATTAACCTGCTACTGATTCTTTGATGAATGACAGGTACAGTATCAGCTTCATTAGTTGAAAAGATTTGAATTGTTTTGTGGATTTCTGTATAATTAACAGGATTCAAAGACACAAGCAGCGCTTGTTGTGAAGTGAGGTCCTTGAATGAAGGAGGAAATGGCATCCTTTGCAAAAAAGAAGGGCAACCCTGTGAAGACAGGAACATTCATGTCTTCTTTGATGGGTTGCATCCAACAGAAGCTGTGAATGTTCAAATAGCAACAAAGGCTTATAATTCCAATCTTACAAGTGAAGTTTATCCCATTAATGTCAAACAACTATCCTTGCTTTAGGTTTATTTCCCTCTTAGTTATAGCTTATGCATGTTGTGTTATATAATTATTGGTAATAATTTATCAAGTTAGCTTGGCAATCTAATCGGTCGGTTTGCTTTACCTTGTTCTACATCTCTCTCTTTTTTTCTTTTTCTCTCTCTCTTTTTTTTTTTTTTAAGAATTCATTTCATCCCTTTCTGTTGTTCGAAATTTTATGGAAATGATCAATTTTTGTCTAGTAATCAAAATTTTGTTCTTCATTTTATTATTAGTTTTGAAAAATACTTTCTTTCACCCAAAAATTTAAATTGAGTGAAAGAATTCTAATTAATTAAATAAATGATCTCAGTTTCGAATCCTTATATAAATAATTATATCCAATAAATTAATCTAAACTTTTATGCCTGAGGTACCTTGGAATCCAAAAAACATGCCATTTTCTATGAAATATTTTTTGCATACTATAATAAAGTATGCCGCCAAAAACAATTTATGGTGCTAATTATCCAAAGTTCTTCTTCTATAACAATACGTTAGAGAAGCAATAGAAGAATAATAAATAAATAAATAAACGAAAGTTTTTTCCAAGAAGCCCATTCGCCCAATAACAGGCCTCTCTTGTAGAAAACCTATAAATTTCAAAACTGTGACTCAAAGCAGAAGAGAAGGAAAAGTGAAACCCTGAACCCTCCTTTTTTCTTTGTTTGTCTTCTTCGCTGTGTCAACTGCACAAACAACAATTCAACCAGGCACCACTCTATCAGCTTCAAACCCGAACCAAACCTGGTCATCACCAAACAACACTTTCTACGTAGGATTTTCCCAAGTGGGTTACTCCTCTTCTTACACCTTAAGCACCAACTACAATGGTGGTGTCCCAATTTGGAAAGCAGGCAACACCACCACCACAGTTGACTCAAAGGGGTCCTTTCAATTCCTGTCCTCCGGCAACCTCGGCCTCCTCAACGGTTCAGGCGCCATTGTTTGGGACTCCAACACTGCTAGACTTGCTGTCACCACTGCTTCACTTGATGATTTTGGTAAATTAGTGTTACAGAATGGAACTTTACCTGTTTGGTCTTCTTTTGATAACCCAACTGCTACTATAGTACCTAATCAGACTTTTAGTGTCAATCAAGTTTTAAGATCTGGGTCTTACTCTTCTAGGTTTCTTAGTACAGGAAATCTCACTTTGAGATGGAATGATGATATAGTATATTGAAATAAAGGGTTGAATTCTTATGTTGATGCTAATTTGACTTCACCTACTTTGGGGTTGCAACCAATTGGGATTTTAACCATTTTTGATGTTGCAAGTGGGTCATATATTGTGGCTTATAGTATTGATTATGGTGAAGGGATTACAAGGTTGAGGTTTTTGAGGTTAGATAAGGATAGAAACTTAAGGATGCACAGTACTGATATAGGTAGTGGAACTACAGCTATGGTATGATCAGCTTTGACTGATCAATGTGAGGTTTTTGGTTATTGTGGGAATATGGGGATTTGCAGTTATAACGAGTCAAGTTCGAGTCCAATTTGTGGTTGTCCGTCTGAGAATTTTGAGCCTGTTGATGCAAATGATAGTAGACAAGGTTGTAAAAGAAAAGTTGAGATTGAGAGTTGTCCGGGGGTGCTACTATGTTGGAGTTAGATAATTTGAAATTCTTGACATATCAGCCTGAGACGGTATCACAGGTTTTCTTTGTGGGGATATCAGCTTGTAGGTTAAATTGCCTTTCTCAAGGTTCAGCTTGTATTGCTTCTACGTCTTTGTCAGATGGAACTGGCTTGTGTTACCTAAAAAATCCAGGCTTTATTGGTGGATATAAGAATCTGGCTCTTCCCAGTACTTCGTATGTAAAAGTTTATGGGCCAGAACAACCAAACCCTACACCTGGTTTGCAGAATGTGGGGAAGAGCAACAGTTGGAGATTGCACATCTGGGTTCTTTGTGTTGTTGTTGTGATTACCCTTTTGGGTTTGATTGCTGTGTAGGGTGGTCTGTGGTGGTGATGTTGTAGAAACAGTCCCAAGTTTGGCAGTTTGTCAGCTCAGTATGCACTACTGGAGTATGAATCTGGTGCTCCAGTGCAGTTCTCATATAAGGATCTGCAGCGCTCGACAAGAGAGTTTAAGGAGAAGCTTGGAGCAGGAGGGTTTGGAGCTGTTTATAAAGGGGTTCTTGCTAATAGAACATTTATTGCAGTGAAGCAACTTGAGGGAATTGAGCAGCGCGAGAAACAGTTCCGGATGGAGGTTGCAACTATTAGTAGCACTCACCATCCGAATTTGGTCAGATTGATTGGTTTTTGCTCTGAGGGTAGCCATAGGCTGTTGGTTTACGAGTTTATGAAAAATGGCTCTCTTGATAATTTCCTTTTCACTCCAGAAGAGCAGCCGGGGAGATTGTTGAATTGGGAGCAAAGGTTTAACATTGCCCTTGGAACTGCAAGAGGAATCACATATCTTCATGAGGAATGTCGAGACTGCATTGTCCACTGTGACATAAAGCCAGAAAACATTCTCTTGGATGAGAACTACAATGCTAAGGTGTCTGATTTTGGTCTTGCAAAGCTTATAAATCCTAAGGATCACAGACATAGGACACTGACCAGTGTTAGAGGGACAAGAGGATATTTGGCCCCAGAATGGCTTGCAAATCTTCCAATAACTTCTAAATCTGATATTCTACGGTTATGGGATGGTTTTGTTGGAGATAGTGAGTGGCAGAAGGAATTTTGAAGTCTCAACAGAAACAAACCGAAAAAAGTTCTCTATCTGGGCTTATGAAGAGTTTGAGAAGGGTACTGTTAATGCAATTTTGGACCAAAGGCTTACAGACCAAGATGTGGACATGCAGCAAGTGAAAAGGGTAATTCAAGTGAGCTTTTGGTGTATCCAGGAGCAACCATCTCAGAGACCAATGATGGGGAAAGTGGTGCAGATGCTGGAGGGAATTTCTGAGATTGTGAGACCACCAGCTCCAAAGGCAATAACAGAAGGTTCTATTAGCGGAAATAACATAAATGTGAGCAGCAATGTCAGTCCTCTCTCGACTTTTGTTGTGTCAGCTCCAGCTCCCTCATCTTCCTCATCATATCAAACTATAGGAGTTTCTCCTTTAGCTTCAGTGGGAAATACAGAGAGGACATCTTCATCATAGTTGCATTCAGACCCAAACTGAAGCTCATCATCCCACATAGCCTAGAACACCGAGGAACTCGAAGGAGGTAACATTTGTGATGAGATACCATACAATGTATTGAAATGACAACAGAATTGTCACAGCCCGAACTGGCAAGCCGCGACTGGCACGTGGCCCGAGGTGGGATGACCCACCACGAGCTACGCAAACCTTAATCCTTTCTCTATTTCTTACCGAAATTTCGACAACATTTCTCCTATAATTGGATAGTCCCAAAAATAATATATATCTTGCATACAAATCCATAATATACAAACACTTCCAAATCATCTTCATCAATTCTCAATCATCATTATGTCCCACCATTGGACATCCACACTTCCTCATAAATCTCATCACATACTAAATTAACTAACAACCATATAATTCAAGATTTAACATAAATGAATTCATAATTCACTATTTAACCATTCAAAATACATATATGGAAAACCTCAACTAACTAGTCCCGAATTTGGTGATACTACTAGCGAAGCAACTAAATAAAATAAAATGTATAATAACCGATTACAATTCCAAAATGGACAATGAATATAAATTTGAAACAATCATGTCTTATATCCGAATGAAGTAAAATAATGTTCGAGTAGTACCTCCAAATCTAAAAAATCTATCGTCCTCCTTCGTTATTTAGCTTTTGTATTATTTACAAAACACTTGAGGTTGAGGGGTGAGTTTTCAAAACTCGATAAGCATAACACATATTATAAATTGTTATACATATAATTATGCCAATGCACCTATCATACATGATTTTTAACCAAGCAAGCCATCAAAATTTTTTTTTCTTTATTAACAATTAATAATAGCATATTCACTTGAAATCACTCTATGTAGAACTGTCTATTCCTTTAGCCCTTAAAAGGATAACTTTGGATCTCACAAGGATAAATTTTAAACTTTGGCCCCAGCAGGTAAACTCTGAAAGAAGCACCGTGGTCATTCCCTAGCTAGCAATACTAGGTGCACCTAGGCTAACTATAACCCCGTTAGCATAGTTAGTCCCGCATAGACTTTCTTTCAAGTTATCAATATCATTATTCTCATTCAATATATATCAATCACACAATTCCATTTAATGCAATTGATCATCATATCAACATGCACATATACCATTCAATGTATCAATATTTTCTTTAATAACCACAAGTCATATGGTAATATATAAATTCAATTTATTTAGCTTACGGTAAGAACACTCATACTAAATAATTCAACTCACATGCAATTATTTGTAATAATTAAGCATTTATCCATATAACTAATTATTCACCTCACAAGCAATATAGACATATATGATAGTAAAGACTCATAATACGTGCTATACTTACTTCTAATCTAGACGAACACCCCAATTTGTAATTATCTCTTCCTTAAGTAGCTTCTTTCGCCAAATCCTCTCTTACCTCTATGATAAATTTACATTTATCATAAATAACAATAATTCGAATATCACAAATTAAAATTCAAGCTTAATTGAATCCTTAATGACTCATTCATTCATTTTTTCCCAAAATTCCTAAACTAATATAAACCCTAATTTTAATCAAATCCTAATTCTTTAATTCAAATTACTAATTCAAGATGAAGTTCACTAAATTATATACAACCCATTTCTTTTTCCTTCTCCCTTATTCCACCTCTTTTTATCTTTTTTTTTTCTTCTTCTTACTTGAATTACTCCACTATTGCCATCGTCGGAGCCGTCGTTGGAGTGGGTGGTCGCCGGCAATTCTTCTCCTTCCTTTCCTTCCTTCTCCTCTCCTTCTCTTCTTCTTTTTCTTTCTCTTCTCCCTTTCTCGTTCTTCTCTCTTTTTCTTGGTTTCATTTAGAAACCATTTTGCCACGTTCTTTTGTTTCTTTCTTTTTCTTTTTTTTTAAAGTTACCCTATTGTCTCTCATTTAAACACTTCACTTAATCTATCTTATAAGGGCCATATAAGTATCATAAGAATCTTGTAAAAAAATTATTTTCAACTCGTACTGTACTCGTAGGCCTTTTGCCATCATACATTAGTAGATATTTATAAATCCAGTTCATTCAAGAAAAGTGTAATTACTAATTTTCACATTTAATGTTATATTAAGGTTCAATAAACCAGATATTCTATTATACTTGCTTTCTCATTTTCCTTTCCTTGCCTTGTTGCAAGGCAACTGCTGGACTTCTATCTGTGGTACAAAGCCTTGGTCTCCATGTACAGTTTCAATAAGCTGACTTTGCACCTTCAACAAATTGCATCAACATTGTTTAAAAATTTGATGGGCTTCATTATGTTTAACAATTTTAGGGAATGCATTATTGCTGCAGAAACTGTAAAAGTTTTGGGGGTCGCAAGTTTGTGTTGATAGCAATTAAACTGATTGGGTGCAGCAATTTGGTCATGGCCAACTGACCAACCCTGTAAAGGCTCCATTCAAAGTTTGAACAGTGAGGCTCACCTCTTCAATGGTCACTTGGAGACTCTAGTAGATGCCATGAAGTGTTGCTGAGTAAATTATTGTTGTTGATTTTTCTTTGTTTTATTTAAATGCATGGTTGCAACAAATGACACCCAAATAAAGGGCCAAATTGGAAGGAATTGATGTTTTTTTTTAAAGGATAATTCAGAACAAATTAAATTGAGGGACTAACTTGTACTTATTCCATAACAACGGACTCGTTTGCTTAAAGCTAGTAAAGAATGTACTAATGGTTTTTTTATTATTATTATTATTTTAAACGAAAAGACGGAAAATGGCATTAAGGAGACGCACACGCGATGGAATTTCACTTGAATTCTTTTGTAACTGATTTCATTGAACGTTATGTACTCCTCTATCCTTCCTCTTAATATTTTCTAACGAATGACCAATGAAAACTTTACGTGCTATTTTAAGGTTACGTTGGCATGGATATTTCTTAGAAGTAGCAAGTAATCAGAAATGTTACAAACTTCCACAATTAAGTGTTTTAAACGTACAAAAACAGCAAAACTTCTAAGCACATTTAGACCAACTCTCAATTCACTTTCGTGTTGAAGTGTAATGGAAAAATCACATCCGAAGCTTCCTTTTAACTTGTAGCGGTTTCCATAGAATTTGACGAGGTGGAGAATGGAGGGAAAAAAAATGGCCCTAAACTCTCTACAACTTTTTAGTCCCATTTACTCTTCTTCTTTTTTTTTTTTTTTCAGTTATCAAGATATCTATAAAATGAAAAGAGAGAGAGAGAGAAGAAGAAGAAGACAAATTAGATCAAATAATGCTTAAAAATACAATCAAATTAAAACATATTCAATGAACCAAGTATATTATTATTTTGAAAAAAAAATTATTCCTTATTTTTATTCGTACATTTTCTTTAAGAATAAAACTATGTTTAATTTTTATTTTTATTTTCATTCTTCATTCTTCATTATTATTATTTTATTTTTTTAGTCAAAAATCTATTAAGTAAGAATAACTTTTTTATTTTTATTATCACTATTCTATTTATTATTACCAAACAAATACTTTAAAGTTTGGATTTGACAAAATTATTACTTTTTTATTAACTAAACGATTGCGCTAAGGTAAATTAACGTTGCATTAGATTTCAAGATTCATACAACATGACTATTACTATTTTATAAAAATGGAATAAGTAATTTCTCTGAGCATAGAATCATTTGCAAAGTACATCCCTATTTTGAAAACGAACTACCTATGCAAATTGCAGGTTAGTATTTGGAAATAGTTTGAACAAAAACAATAATAAAAGATAGATTAGTTGGGATACCAAAAGCTAATGTTTTGATTTATAAGAACAACAGTCAATAGTATTTGGAAATAGTTTGAACAAAAACCATAATAAAAGATAGATTGGTTGGGATACGAAAAGTTAATGTTTTGATTTATAAAAACAACAATCAATCAAATAAATAAGTGGAATGAATATAAGTAACGAAAAAAAGTGAAAAGAAAAGCAAGTCAATGCTAACAATGAGCAAGTCAAGCGATAAATAAGTTAATAGTTAAAATCCAAATAAATGATGATCAAAATTCAAATAAATAGAGTTTCAAGTGATGTTTACTTTGTGCGCACGCACGCGCTCGCGAGAGAGAAAGAGAGATTGTGCTACTAAACAAAAAATTAAATTTTTTTTTACAATTATTATGAGGTTAGTATTTATAGTGAAATGGTGATGACCCTTAACTATTAGTATTGTATTATGTCATTTATATTTAGAAGATCAAATTTGAATCGAAGAAAGTTAGGTTTTTTTATAAAAAAAAAATTACCTAAATTGTTTTAACTTGCTAGCAAATGATTAATAAAGTAATAATTGAGTCTTTTTTAACGGATCATACTTCAAGTCCATCAAATCAATCTCCCTAATGCATCTTAGATATAAGACATAGATACTAGTTTTACTAGAATACATGTATTTGTTCTTGTGTAGTCCAAAATCTTGTGTTGGACAAGGTACAATTTCAGTCCAATTTATTTATTGTGTAGTTTAAATAAAACTAAGTTAAAACTAGATTACTAAACCATTAAGCTAATTTTTATCTTTGAATTTTTGGATCTAATATCGTTAGGATTATAAGAATTTAGATCCTGCACAAACATTGGAACTACTTATACAGATGTGGATGAGATATTATGTACTTGATATTCAAAACTCTATACCTCTTAATTGGATTATGTTTAATTTTAGTTTTTCTACAGCTGAATATTTTACTGGTGATAGTACTATCAAGTTGCGCGGGTATAATAATTTAAAGTAAGCTGGATGATTAACAATTTGTGGTTTTTCAAATTATATTTATGGACAACAATTTTCTCCTATTTGGGTTCGAGCAATTTTCCTTCTACCCATGACATTACCATATCACGACACTTTATAAATAGGAGAAGAAGGAAATAATATATTGTCCATATTTGATTATCAAGTAAAATCCAAACATTTATTGTCTATTAAGTAGCTCTATTTAATTAATTTTATGTTAAAATACTTGAAACTTTCTTGAATTTTAATCTATTTTAAAATATATATTTTTTAATTTTTAATTTGTGTTTAGACTTTCTTATATTATTTTAAAATCTAGTCAATTCTTCAATTTTCTATTATTTATCCTAAAACATAACAATTATATAATAAATTCATGATGAAATTATTCGGAATGATTTATTTAGTGTTTTCTAGAAAAAAATATTAAGATTATTCTGAATTATTTTCTAATCAATTCATTTTATTCAAATTTAATAATAGGACACCACATACTACAGATTATAATGCAAGACATTTAGAAAGTAAATCAAGAAAAAATAAAAAATAAAAAGATATTAATAATTACACAACACGAACTATATTAAAAATCTTATTAAAATTTTCAATTAACTATAAATATAAAAGATAATATTCATATTTATGATGTAAATAACTAAGATGATGAAGAAGATGATGATGATAAGAATAATAATAATTAAAAAGAAAAAACTTACAAGCCTATACATCTATTTTAAAATTCTATAGACATTTCGTGATGAATTTACATAACATACTAAACTGCAAGTTCCATTCAAATCAGTCTCCTACGCTGAACAGCACTTTCAAATATGAAATTATTAATCAGGTTTGGTAATGTATAATGTTATTTGGGCTGCAAGCATCTCGTTGCCAATTCTAAAAATAAGAACGATTGTCATCCGATCACCTGCCTACGATTGATAGGCCCAAAGTTGCATAAAAGTCAATTAGGACGGCATTTAACAACTAATAATGCTAGTGATTAGTGCCATAAATCTGGAAATGATTTGGTGGTGGCTCCCTCCAAATAGACAGTTGTTGACTAGGTGCTTGTCCTAGACTCCTTCAAATGGCTAAGGTCCATCTCACAGCCAAAATGAGTTGTTCAAAAGGGCCCTCCACGTTCTGCATCAATTGAACATTCAATGATTACATCAAAAGGAAACTCACTTCCCAGTTCCCATCCAAACCTAACACGTTGAAGACTAATGTTCCTGTAGTATTTTATCATTATCGCTTTATGTATGCTGCATTTAATGAACCTCAAATTTCTGTTGGAGAAAACAATTCTTACAAGATTCATCAAAATCACAACCTCCTTGGATATTGCGTTCTGTGTGCCCTTTCTTCCTAGAAAGACAAATTCGTCATTGAGCTACCATCTTTCTTTTTTTATGCAGCTATGAGATAATATACAATCATGAAGATACGATTTCTTGTCAAGACTCAAAATATGGAACTTGTCTTCTGACATAAACAAAAAAACTCTGTCAAACATAGAACTTGAATGGTGAGACATACACAAGATTGGCAAGATATTAATTATTGCAATGAGCTACCAATTAACTTCCTCTGGCAAGCAACTTTGATAGAGAATATCCAGAAAACGTTTACCTCAAAACTATAACGCTTGTTTAGTTACATTTTTGTTGAACCAAAATTGGAGTTGTTGAAACCAAATATGCTAATGAGATTTAATTTGAAATGATTCTAACAATGATGAAGATGGCTTCTCCATAATTCTCTCTGAAATGAAAGGCGATATGCTTGCAGTTTGAAATGATGAAGATGATGAAGAGGGAGGTGGAGCTGAGGCTTCAGATGAAGAGGGAGGTGGAGCTGAGGCTTCATTAGTGGAGTGACCACTGTCTTTACTGCTCAAATTGGCACTTGTTCCACTAATAGATCCTTCAGTAAAGGCCTTTGGTGCTGGAGGTCTTGCAATCTTTACAATTCCCTCCAGCATCTGCACTACTTTTCCCATTGTTGGTCTTTGAGAGGGATGCTCCTGAATGCACCAAAAGCTAACCTGAACAGCCCTCATCACTTGTTCAATGTCAACATCCTGATCAGCAAGTCTCCTGTCAACAATTGCCTCCAGATTGCCTTCCTCAAACTGTCTGTAAGCCCACTCTGAGAACTTTTGATTGATTTCTGCTGAGACTTCAAAGTTCCTTCTCCCACTCACAATCTCCAACAAAACCATACCATAACTGTAAACATCTGATTTTGATGTTATAGGCAGGTTTGCTAGCCATTCTGGTGCCAAATACCCTCTAGTGCCTCTAATGCTTGTCAAGGACCGGTACCTTTGGTCCTTTGTGCTAATAAGCTTTGCTAAACCAAAATCAGACACCTTGGCATTGAAATTCTCATCCAAAAGAATGTTTTCTGGTTTGATATCACAATGGACAATGCAATCTCGACATTCCTCATGAAGATATGTGATTCCTCTTGCAGTCCCAAGAGCAATGTTGAACCTGTACTTCCAATTTAACAATTTCCCTGACTGATCTTCGGTCGTGAACAAGAAATGATCTAAAGACCCATTTTTCATGAACTCGTACACTAAAAGCCTGTGACGCCCTTCGGAGCAAAACCCAATCAATCGGACCAAATTCAAATGGTGAGTGCTACTTATAGTTGCAACCTCCATCCGAAACTGTTTCTCACCTTGTTCAATTCCCTCGAGTTGCTTCACCGCAACCACTGTTCTGTTGGCAAGAACTCCTCTATAAACAGCTCCAAACCCTCCTGCTCCAAGCTTATCCTTAAACCCCTTCGTCCAGCGATGCAGATCCTTGTATGAAAACTGAACAGGAGCACCAGAAGCATATTCAAGAAGCGTATACTGAGCCCACACACCTCCAAATTTGGGACTTTTTTTACAACAAAACCACCAAAACAAACCCACTAAAGCAGCCAAACCCAAAATAGAGGCTACAACCACAGCACCAACAACCCTAACCCACAATTTCCAGCACTTTTTATCCCCACCACTCTGCTCGGAAGGCGAAGGATTTGGTTGCACTGGTCCACAAACCTTTACATAAGAGGTACTAAGAAGCACTGGACCCTGATATCCACTAACAAAATCAGGTGTGTTTTTCGTGTAACACCATACATTTGTATCTGATAAAGAAGTGGAAGCAATGCAAGAAGCACTTAAAAAACAATTCCCTCTACAAGCTGTTATCCCAGTGGAAACAATTTGCTGAGACTGGAAATTAAAAAATTTAGTCTGCTTTAATTCCAGCATTGTTACATTCCCAACACAATCCTCAACAGCCACTTTTCTCTTACAACCTTTTCTACTATCATTCACATCTACAGCCTCAAAATTCAGAGATGGGCATTTACAAATCGGACTGAAACTTGATTCCTTATAACTACAAATCCCCATGTTTCCACAATATCCATAAACCTGACATTGATCAGCTAAAGCAGCCCATGTCATAGTTGTATTTCCACCACTATACATTCTCAAATTCCCATCACTAGTTAACCTCAAAAATCGCATTATGTCACCCCCTTCTCCATAATCATTAGCAAAAGCAACATTCTCTGTCCTCCTCATACTAGCATCTGAAAGAGTAAGAATCCCATTTGGCTGCAACTGCAAGCTTGGAGAAGTCAAGTTCAAAGCACTTAAGCGTTGATTCCAGTACACCACACTGTCCTCCCATGTCAAACTAATATTTCCATTGCTTAGAAGCCGGAAAGAGTAAACCCCAGATCGTAAAGTTTGGTTTACAGTTAAGTTCTGTGAAGGGACAAGAGTGTCGGTTGGGTTTTCAAAACTGGACCAGGCATTGATACTGCCGGCTGTCAGTACTAGAGTTCCTGAGTCATGAAGCGAAGCAGAAGTGACACCAAGATTGGCAGTGTTGGAGGTCCACACAGTGGCATCTGAACCGTTGATGAGGCGGAGATTGCCGTTGCGGAGGAACTGGAATTCTCCAGCGCTGTCAACGACAGCTGCAGAGGCAGTGCCACCAACAACACTGACGGTTGTCCAGATGGGAACTCCAGCAGTTCCATAGGAGATGGAAACAGTGTAGGAAGTGGGACCCAGTTGAGTAAAGCCTAGAAAGAAAGTGTTGGTTGGAGATGACCAGGTTTGGCTTCTGTTGGAGGCATAAAGAGAGGAGCCTGGTTTTATGTTAGCTGTTGAAGTAGTGGTGAAGAAGAGAAGGAGAGGAAGCAAAAGCAGGCGATGAGAGTGGAGGTTCATTATATTTTTTTGTGGCTACTGGGCTGGGTGGCTAGGTTGTTTCTCCATGTCCTATAAATTCAGAGGATTTTCCCATGCCTAATTTGGATTTTTTTCCCCTTAAAGTTCAAATCTTATTCTTAATTTTTTTAGAATTATCCTGATTGATAAATAGGTTTGCTCCTTAAGATGTCCGATTTGCATCTTTTTGAAGGTTGTAATAAAAATAATTTTTTTATTCATTATAATTTTTTCTTAAAAAAATTGACTAGAAAATAACTTAATCTTGATGGAATTAAATGTGTTCAAATATAACTTTATGGTCAAAATAATAAAGAAAAAGTTGAATATGATTTTTTACTGTTGAAGAATTGAAAAATAAATCCTATAGAAAGAGGAAACGATTTTTTTATTTGTCTCGTGGCTAAAGCTAGAGTTTGATTTATATATATATATATATATATATTTGTTTTTGGGAGAAAATTATAAATTAATTCATCTTGCGAAGAAATAAATCAATTAGTTTTTTTATTTTAAAAACTAATTGCTTGGTTTTTTATTATTTTTTAATTTATTTTGATTTTTTTATTTTAAAAATATGAAAAGAATAAAATATTAGTAAAAATATAAAAAGAATAATAAGAAAAAAATAATTTATAAAATAAAAATTATTAAATTAATTGTGATTAATACGAATTAAAGGAACTAAATAATTAATTTTTAAAACTAAAAAATTAATTAATTTGTTTTAAAAAAAAGAGGGACTAATTTATAATTTACACTTGTTTTTGTTAGTATTGGGCATGCCCAATTTATTCTAATGCTTTTTTTTTCTCGATTTATTTGACTTTTGCCCTTGAAAAACGGACTTCTCGATTTTACCTGATGCCAGAATTACTTTGAACTAAGAATACTGCCTAGAAAACCGTAGGTCTCTAGTAGAAATTCTCCCCTTTTCATTAGCCCTAGTTTGTTTGGAAATTATGAGAAGATGATTGTCCAATCGGCATTTTCATGGAAACCACTTTCTAGACGTGCTTGAAGAAAAGTTCTAAAGTATACATGGAATCAAATACCATTCACACGAATGAAAGAGGTAAAGAGAGTTGAAAAGAAGTAAAGGAGCCCTGGATCGCAAACAATATCTTTGTATTAACCTTTTTTTTCCCTGTACGTTGAAGAATGGAATTGTTTTGTCCTTTTTCCTGTCCACGATTGATACATTGCATTGTATTCCACTAGGCTGCTATGCCGAAGTTGGTGAGGTCAGGTATCAGAAAACAACAAATTTAAATAAATGCTGTTACGTTATGTAATGGATTAGCATTATATAATAGTTTTGTAACGTTCTGTGTTACCGCTATTTTATAATTACAATAAGTCATGATTTATAATAGTGACTATGATGATTTCTTTAACCACATGTGATTTAAAACTATACCAAGAACAAAAGAATTTATACCTTCATTCAAAACACTAAAATTATGTTGTCAGAATTCACAAGGCAAAATAAGTAAGAGTTAGGTCTGTGAAATTTTGCCAAAAAAACAACTGTAGTCATGTGCTACACCACCAAAATAAAGGGATTTAGGGACGGTTTAATCCGTTGCTAAATCCCAAAAAACCGTCACTAATATTGATTAGTAACGGTTTAACGATGGTATAAAACCGTCCTAAAAAACCTTCTCGCTAAATCATCGGCAACGATTTTTTGTATACCATCGGTAAATTAACGATGAATTAACCGTCACTAGAACGACTTCGCTTAATAGTGAAATGAGGTTATGGATTTAGCGATGGTTTTGTTAAATCGTCACTAAATCCATCGCCAAATATGGATGAATAACGATCATTTTTTCAATCCGTCTCTAATTAATAGCATTTTAAGCGATTTTTTCAAAAATCTTCACTAAATGTGAGTTCAACCATCGCTAATTTTTTATATATATTTTTCATTTATTTGTTTCATCGCTAATTAGAAAAATAAAATCCATTCTAATTTAACAATTACAATAACGCTATGAAATAGATTTATAAATATTATGAAACCTTTATAATATATAAAATTCAATAAAATGAAATATATATTCAAACACTAAATTATTTTATTAAAGTTTACTAATATTTCAAAAAAAGAAAACATAAAGGCGATAAAAAATTATATTGTGATGAAGGGAATACATGTCATGACATATCATCATTTTCATTAGATGCATGATGGTCGGTTGGAGGATCGGTGGATGAACTACCTCTTTGCATATTTAGCAACATCTGCTCGCATCATTGCATGTTGCTCTTAAGTATATTGCTCCAATCGATTTGTAGTAGTTAAGAGTGATGTAATAGTACCCTTTAGTTTCTCGATCTTTTTTGCTTATCTAGAAGAATGAGCCTCTATTTTCTTTTGCTACTCCTCAATATCGACATGAAACCGTGATGTGGTCGAACTAGAGGATGTATTAACATTAGAGTAATAGTGAGAAGCATGTGACCTAAGTTCGTATATCCTCTTCCTTTTACTATCTCCTCCTCTAATAGCCCTCTTAAAAATCTTATTCATGTCAATGTTGGATGATGAAGTACCCTTCGTCTCCCGGTTAGCAACCTCCTTTTAAAACATTTTTTGACGGTTTCCTACATAATTGCACAAATTCTAATATTAAATAGTTATATTAATAAGTTATATAAAAGTGACATACGTATGAAATAACGTTATAAATTTCTTACTCTAAGAATTCTTGTCCTTTGATCGATGAATACATACTTATCGACAACCTTCTTTCCGTGAGTCCTCAAGAAAACCTTGCGAGCTTCGGGTTCATAACCCAACTCATTATGCTAAAACAAATATACTTAAATCTTATTGATGTTAATTTAATTATAAATAATATATATATATATATATATATATATATATATATATATATATATATATATAAAAGATTTCTCATGTGTATTGTGTGCTTTCTATGGGTAATCGATAAAAAGGCCGACTCTAATGCCACCCGTCTCGCTCTTGCGGTTCTAGGTCGCTAGCTCAAATCGGGCACGAGACTCAAGTTTTTGCCCATTCCTTATACCATGCATCTCATATCTCCTATGAGATATATATTGGTTTAAGGTGTTTCTTTACTTGATAAAGAAAGTTGGAATATTGTTTCGTGCCGGACTCTACCATGCTTTCTTTATGCTTTGCTTGACCTCCTGTTCCCACTTAAAAGACTTCGCAAGAAAGTTAAAAATATTTATTAATACATTTAAATGAATATTAATGTTTGTTAATTAAAATATACAGTTACATAATAAATTAAGCTAAAAACTACCTTAAACTCCCTTAATACAACTCTTTAGTTTGCTCACCGATTAGCTTCCACATCAATCTAGATATGTCAACATGCTCATGGAATGTTTTAAAGATACGACGAGCATAAATATTGAAAGGATACAAACTATCAAATAAGACATGAATTAATAGTTAAATAAATGTATAAATATAATAATATATTAAAAAATATTTTAAAAAATACATAATACGTACTCCTTGTCGGTAACGATAGTAATTGCAATCCAAGGATCGACCATAGATCCGAGAGGTGTAGAAGCCAAACTAGAAAGTATGTTTGGTGATAAGCCATACTCGGGAACATGATGGTCATCTTATTAGAGCAAGTGGCCCCGATACATAGAGGTCTACAATAATACGGCTTAAGTCGAGACATGTCAAATGGTGATGGGTTTGACACCGTGGCGTAAAAGAGTGGTATATAGAAATGTCAACGAGGAGGGGGAGGGAAGGCATCCAACTTGGAATGGAAGTTAGGCTACGTCCACATCCATGGTCACTACCATCATTAGTGTTTAAACCATGACTCTCACCATATGACATGGACAACTACATGCTAGAACTTCCCTTACCACGAGGCATAACTTACACATTATCACACCGATTAGTTAAAATATTGATATTGACATAAACAAGTTAAAATATATTTATTTTGAGATGAAAAAATAATTTTATAATTAAAATAAATCATGCACACACACAGAGACATAGACACGGACACGTACACACATATATACTTATATGTTATCTTAATAATTTAAAATAAACTATGAAAGACAATCAAACCTTGCCGCTAATCATTATCTCGATCATCATTGTTACAGTCTTTATCTAGGTCTTTCCGAACATCTATTTAAAATTCAACATCATTCTCTTCATTAATTTCATCCCCTTCTAAATCTATTAATGATTCGATTGGATCGACTCAACGATTGACCTTCATCGTTATCAATTAGATGACATTTCATTGGGCTTTCATTTCATTTTTCTAAAATTATTCCATAATTTTTTGTACCATAATAGATAATTCTAACATATCCATTTTCGGTTGAGATTTTACCTTACATACGACCAACCAATCACACTCGATGCACTTTGATGTAAGATATGTTACATAATACACTTGATGTGCTTGTGTTGCTAGGATGAAAGGATCGGATCTATTCGATGTCCTATAACTATTTACTTATATTAGTCCGTACCGATCATGAACTTTTGTACCAATGTCGGTATAGTATCATACCAATCACATTTGAACAATATAGTTCTCTTGATTGGTAATACAAGATACTCAAGTTCTAGTATATCGATCAACCAATGTAGTAGTCATTTTCCTTCACACCGTAACTAACTCATTTTATTTATACTCTACTATACATTGTTACTCTATCCGAATCATGACCTTCGATGTAGAACTTGTATCCATTCATAATGTATCTCGGATACAACTTAGTTATTCGCAATGATCTTTTTGTAAGATCTTTAACATAATAGTCGGTTATCGTATTGGGTTATACATTACTTGCTTGTAAAGTCCATTTTCATTACCTATTATTAGTATTAAATTTCATAATTTTATCTTAATAATAAAAAAAATTCAAAATTTATTATACTCATATATCAATGGATCATGATGCAAAATCATTTTCAAGCCAAACATCAAACTCGTGCTTTTATA